CAATTTTTCGTGTGCATCAATAGATTGATCTGGTGCCCAGAGTACCCATATATTTTTTCTCAAAAAACTTATGAGGACCTCCATAATGAGTGTGGGAACCTTCATGTATACTCGCACCATTTTTTAACGCTCAGTTCCGCATTTATAAACCTTTTTTTAAAAATCCCTAAATTCCTCAATTTTTCCTATAACCAATGGATATGACGCCTGACGCCTGTATTATCGAAAATCGTTTTCTAAAAAAAATTTATGAGGACCTCCGTAAAGAGTTTGGGAACCTTCACGTATACTCACACCATTTTTATGTCATTTCCACATTTACAAGCTCTATTTTAAGAATTGTCCAAATTTCTAATTTTTCGTGTGTATTAATTATCCCATGAATTTGGCGCCCGGAGCACCCATAATTTTTTTATCAAAATTTTTTAAGAGGACCTCCGTAATTAGTTGGGGAACCTTCACGTATACTCACACCATTTTAATGCCCGTTTCCGCGTTTATAAGCCCTTTTTTAGGAATCGCCCAAATTCCCCAATTTTTCATGTGTTAGCCCATGGATCTAGCGCCGGAGCACCAAATTTTTTTTTTCTGAAAAAACTTTATGAGGACCTCCGTAATCAATTGGGGAACCTTCACGTATACTCACACCATTTTTTTAAAGCCCATTTCTACATTTACAATCCTTTTTTTTAAATCGCCCAAATTTCCCGATTTTTCATGTTTATTATCCTATAGATCTGGCGCCCAGAGCACCCAAATTGTTTTTCTCAAAAACTTTATGAGAAAGTCAGTAATGATTTGTGGAACCTTCATGTATACTCACACGATATTTTAATACCCATTTTAAAGAATTTTCCAAATTCCCCGATTTTTCGTGTGTATTAGCTCATGGATCTGGCGAGGAGAACCTAATTTTTTTTCTCAAAAAACTTTATGATGACCTCCGTAATGATTTGGGGAACCTTCACGTATACTTACACCATTTATTTAACATCAATTTCCGCATTTACCAGCATTGTTTTAAGAATCGCCCAAATTCCTTAGTTTTTCGTGTGTGCCCATGGATTTGGTGCCCGAAGAACCTAACATTTTTTTCTTAGAAAAATTTATGAGGACCTCTATAATGAGTTGGGGAACCTTCACGTATACTTACTGTTGACACCAATTTTTGTCCCTCCTTTCTTCTAATTTATTTCGTTGAGCTTCTAAATTGCTAATAAGTCGAATACTTTATAATTCACTATTACTTTCCATTTATCTCTATTGTTATCGTAATCACTTTAACTTTTATTATTTTTTATGATTATCATATTTTTACTATCATTTCCACTACTTCAAAATTATACTTTTTATTATCAACATTACTATTATTTCTTTAATGCCATCTTGTTTAAAATAGTATGTCGTTACTTTATTTCAAGTTTCTTACTTACTAAAACTTTATATAATATATTATATTGATTACTAAAGTAGAAGCTCAAATGAATTAATTTCAAGGAGGGAATAGGCCATGAAAATTTGTCCATTTCAAGCCCATTTACAAGCTTAAAACAATGAGCCCAAAAGCTCAAATCATCTAAGCCCATCCAATCTCTATTGATTCTAGCGCAAATTACAGAAATACACACCTTTTGTTTCACTTATTTTTATTATTCCCTATTACTTTTAAAAATCTCCAAAATCCCTTATTTCTTTAAAGTATTCGAGCTGCATATTAATGTATCCGAGCCAATATTTAATGTATCCTAGTTATACATTAATGTATTCGAGTCAGTATTTAATGTATCCGAGCTACATATTATGTATTCGAGCTAGTTTTTAATGTATCTGAGACACTATTTAATGTATCCGAGCTTCAATTATTGTATTCGATTTTTTTAATTTTTAAGGGATTAATGTAATTTGAAACTTATTAGGGATAGATTGTAATTTCATATTAAAACTATGGGATTTATGTAATTTACCCTTGATTCTATCTTATCATCAACCCATATCATTTTCCAAATACAAAGATAAGACTTTACCCTAATCCCTCCATACAAACAAACATACTGCATTATCTTCTTATCCTTTCCACTTCTGACAGAAAAATCAAACTTCTTTATGCCAAAGTAAAAGTTGTCTTGCCATTTCTGTGAAATAACTCGACACCCCCTCTAGCAAATTTTTTTTCCCCATACTATTTTTATAATTAGAAAATAGTAGGTGCTAGTCAAGATCTTCTTTTTCAAGAATTGATTTCTTAGAATCAATAGTCTGATAAATCTGATATTCACAACAGCTCTATTTGACCATAATTTAAAATTCAAATCCAAAATTCCCGCTCAAACAAGTTGTTATCTTACAATTTCTTGTCTATAAATACTCACTAAAACTCTTCAGGCAAGGGAGAAGTTTCCAGTCGCCTCTTTCCCCTCATGCTTTGCTATTTTCTTACTCCCTCCGTCCCATTTTATGTGACACCATTTCCTTTTTGATCAGTCCCAAAAAGAATGTCACATTTCCTTATATGGTAAGTATTTAAAGGTATAATTCATATTTTATTCTTGTTGGTCCCACTTAATCTTAAAGATAGTACTTCAATACATTTATGAGAAGCGAGAAAGGTGAATCTACTTTTTAATATGACTATTTTTTGAAGAGGCAATTTTATAAACATTTGAAAGTCTTCATGTATTTCTTAACCTTTGTGCTATTGGGATATACTATTAACCATATGGTTGAGTTATAGTATTGATTTTAATCCTTTATAAAGTCTTTACGTTTTATGTAAGTTGTTACAATAAAGTTTTTTTTTGAATAGATCATTGTGTTTATATGTGTGTCCATTGTTTATATAGTAGACGATTTTTGAGTATGGAGTTGCTTAACTCATACGCGGAAGATTGAAAGTTCCGGTTCTTATAAGTCATAAATTAAATGTTCACAATCAAAGATGAAATTGGACAAACATCTTGATGATTGTAACACAAGATTAAATGTAATTCAATCTTAATTATGGGAATGGTAAAATTCCAACTTCTTGTGTTAGTACATTTTGCATGTATTGAACGGACCAAATTGAGATATGCATTTAGGTTCTGAATTTCAATAGATAATATCTCTAGTCCATTACATGAGCTTTTACTCTTAATCTTGATATAGTTATTATGATCTGTGTAGTTTGCTTTATTATTATTTTCATCTATTAAAAGGTGAGACTCTAGGATGAGTCGAAAAAAAATTCCTAATGGATTGGATAATAACAAATTACATACGTGGAATAATAATTAGCTGATAGAACCATATCTCGGATATGATAAAGAAGACACCCCTTTATGGTTGTTATAAATAGTCACGTGAAAACCTTGCAGGTGGATTATATATGTATATCTGTCATGTGAATTAATTTAAGCATAAAGATAAAGGATTAAATTAATCAATGGATTAAATTTTTCAGAAGTTTAATTTAATTGATTGGTGTCGGTAATTCTAACATGGGGAGTTAAATAAGTTGTAACGAGAAAGAAAAAAAATTGAAATTAAATAGAGGAGTGCAGTTGCAGATTTTTAGTGGTACAATCTGTGATTTATTATGATATGGTTAATTCATGCTTTTTACGAATTAAATATTATAATTGGAAGCCTCTGCTAATAAATTTGTGGTCCCTACTATGCCTGATTAATTGATCGAGTTTGGAAAAGAAAAGGACTGTTAGTATTTTTTTT